GCCCGCACTGACCTCCAGCGGACCTGCCTGCAGATCATTGTGCAGCTTAAGAGCATCAACTGTTAGATCACTCTTTCCTGTGGGGGAAAAAGAAGATGAGAGGCAAACCATTACATTAAGCTCACCTCCTCATATAAGTAATTAAAATTTCATTGCATCTAGTCTCATCTGAACTCTGGCATAGACAGGGTACATAAAAGACCGACATGGGACAAGGCAACTACAGTTCCTTTTAAATACATAGAGAGACCCTTTGCTGTTTTGGCTCTATGCTACAGCACAGTAAAGTTAACATGAAATGACAGTAAGGCTTGGTGTCGGCTTGTAGCTTTAAGGGTGTTTGAAGATGTTCATGTCCATACAGAGTAAACAATGGAGGAATCAAACACCTTTTTTATATTTACCTCCCACATTATAAGACAATCCAGAAGAGCAATGATTGTAAACATGCAGCCAAAGTAAGCTAGATGTATTTTAGGTCTACACCAGGGCAGAACGATTTTGAAAAAAATATGTAATTGCGATTATTTTGACTGATATTGCAATTGCGACACGGTGCAATATTTGTTAAAGACAAAATGTTGCGATTTCAACAAAATTTTGATTAATTGTTCAGCCCTAGTCTACACATAACCTTCTTCCAAATAAGCGTGTTTCATTTGCTCAGGGTCAGACTGAAGACAATAAGCCCCCTGAAACAATGATGATGGTGCAGCACATGCTGGAAGGGTACCAAGAATCTGATGAGGTCTGTGGGTTATAAACTTACAGCAGTCATCAACTGCAATGGATTTCCAACAAAACATGGAAACATAATTGTTTGATTATTTTTGGTACCCTGAAACTGGGAGGTCCAGTTCTGTTCACCCAATGTGTGGCTGTAAACACCTTCAAAGTACAGCTTAAGGTGCAAACTTTAACTTCAGAGTAATCATAAATACATTTAAAATCTAATGTGCTGGAGTGCAACACAGCTGAGAGCCAACACACGGCTGAATGCGTGTCTCTGGCCAAATACTTAGAAACTGTTTGTACTAGTATGGCCAAGACTGTCAATCTCAGGGTGTAACATAAAGGACATAAACGATAATGAAACGTTATCTTCATTTAACGACACACGCATAGAGACATTGTGTCTCTTCGCCACAAACACACTGTCACGTTAGTTGTTATCATTTAAATCAAAGACTGAACTCACTGACGAGTTGCTTCAGCAGACCAAAAGGACAAAACAGAAAGATACGAAGTCCGATTTTCCGCTGACAACTTTATCAGGAATGCTGATAAACATTTAATGGCGCAACACTGAGAGTTAGCTTGGTCTGTTACAAGTTAAATGTCTGACGCTAGCTAATGTTAGCACTAGCCAGAGACCCACGTGTAATAGGAAGCTTACCGGTGGGTCGGCTGAAGAAGCGGCTTTTAGCGGCCTGTCGAAAACGACTCGTCTGCGGGTTTGAATCGCTACTGTGTCCTTTCTTCCACCGTTTGAGTTTCGACCCCGTCCCAGAGCGAAGTTTCCCCGATTTTACCATTTTCGGGGATGAAAATAATCACGTTACCCCAACTTTCCGTGCTGCTCCAGATGAGCCTGTCGCTTACCAAATGACGTCACTGGTGTACTCACGTGTGGCACCTGGCGTTGATGTTAGTTTGCCAGCAGATGGCGCTGCTCAGCACTAAACAACGTGCACACAACATCAAATAACAGCTACTGAGCTAATAGGCCCGTCTCTACTGAGCAACCATCACCCCCTGATGTAGACAGGACTGTGCGATGCGGTTGAAAAGATAGTAGGATGCAGGGACGTGCACAGGAATTTTGAAGGGCAGTTGCTCTGACCTGAAAAAAGGCACTAAACACAGTATCCAAAATGTATTAACAATATAAATGTCACCAAAATACATATGAGAAAAAGAGTTCCTTATATTATTGTTTATTGTTTTTTTTAATCATTATTATTTTTTATTTTTTTTCCTTTTTTTTTTTATTTGAAAAAATAATCTAGATTGAATTGACAGATGGGGAAAACTCGCTTCTAATAAAATATTAAATAAAAAAACGCTTAGATTTCGGAAAAAAATACAATCCTTTTTTAACCTTTTGGCTTCCCGTACATTCAGTTGCGCTTCTAGCTCGTATTCACTTCTGTTGGTACGTATCACGTATGGTAACTGGGCAAAACTACGCATGATTTGTTGTAGTATGATTGCATAAAGGAAGGAAACAGGAATTCCGGTAGGGAACAGAATCGACTGACGTGCAGGCAGCGCTGCAGCAGTGCAGCCACTTAAACAGAGTTTGCTCTTCCCCTGCTGAATGGAAGTGAATGAGGCTTTGCGATCGCGATTATTTTTTTATTTTATTTTTTTTTCTCGGAAGGGCAACTTGAGTCAGGAAAGGCAAACGGGCAGTTGCCCGGGCAACCAGAGCAACCCCCCTGTGCACGTCCCTGGTAGGATGTTAAATTTGGATTGGAAAAATTACCAAGGTCAAGTAGAAATGCTATGTGTGGAATCAACAGCTACTGAGCTTGCATGTTAACAGATCAATTTAGATTAAAAACACAGTTTTTCGGCTGATTGGCAGAGCAAAGGAAAGAATTTGGAGCAGGTTTTTCCCTTGTTGTAACAACACTAATTCCACCAAATAGAGATAATACAGTAGTTAGGTGATCATTTCAGTATTTACCTACTTCCTCCCCAATCAGGCATGGTAGTTATCAAGTCTGGAAATAGGTGCATTCAGAATATATAGAGAAAAAACTGATTTTGAGGTAAGAAAGTAAATTTTTTGACCAAGACTAATTTTTGTTTAGTTTCTATACTATTGCAAATAGAATTGTTTGATTTATGTTAGACTGAAATACAGTTTCTCAGGCAACGTGATGCATTTTTTCCTTTCTAATTTCAAACCACTATGGCAGAGGTCACTAATAGGCAGACCGCGGACCCGGACCTGATCCGGACCCAGCCGCTGTCCTCTCCGGACCACCGACCTAGAGCTGATTTATTATTGAGACTTACTACCTCGTGACGGAGCGTTTCTATTTTAACCCGCGCAGCTTTTCTAGCATTTACTGTACTGGTTTAGCAGCCCAGAAACTCACAGATCAATCGCATGTGCTCCAATCGTGTCATGTGACGCTGCTCATCCAATCAAATCTGTGCATTCCGATGCTTGCAAGTCGAGTCCGCGAGATTCACCAGAGACGTTTTGCACTTTATTTTAGTTTACTTAAATTTAGAATTTATTATTAGATTAGTTATTATTTATTATCGCTATTATGTGAAAACTGTATTATTTGAATGTAATATTATTTGATTTGACAGTCCGTTGTTGACTAAAAACACATGTTGAAACAACTATACGTTATGGTACTGAATGATAACGCAAGTTAGTTGTTTTGATGTTCCGGACCTTTGCTTCAGGAAATTTTCTCTAACTGGACCTCTTTGCATTCTAATTGATACCCCTGCACTATGGTAATACAGCTAGCTAAACATTGTCTGACAGGGGTGGGGTGGGTTGTAACACTTCTTTAAAAAGTGTTAACTATCCACTATACATAAAACTAGGTACTTTCTTGATTTTAATATTTTCCAGATTACTGGGCCCACCAAACCCGCACTCCTGGGTTACCAGCATTATTTTGTCAGCACTGTGACCAGTACTCCCCATTCACATGTTGGCTTATGTATAGTCAATCGCCCTTTTCCGGTCTCCGCTGGTGGAGAGGGTAGAAAAGTGTATGGCAGTTGTGAGAAGTGCCTGTGTGCAAGAAAAAGTCCCGGTACGCCAAAGAGTAAAATATAGAAGTGCTGGTATACTTATTAATACCGGCCCACTTCAAGCACTGACACTGAATAAGAATATACACACATTGACACACACAGACACACACCTCTTTTTAGTTAGACCTAAGGATGTACAGAGATTTTCTTTAATAAAGTACATTGTAGTAACAAGGGGACACATTGCATTCCATATCAACTCACGAGGTCTGTGATATCCTTGAAGAGGATTGAATTGGTGCCATTTGTAGTAAGCAAATGTGGGTACTTTGTATACAAATTTGAGAACTCTAGGTAAAAAATTCAGTGAGTTATAGTTGCTGAAGCAAAAACTGTTACAATCATACCCAGTCTCCCCTACTGGGAGCCGGGAATGGTCATCTTAAGACGACATAAAACACCTTGTTAAGAAAATAATCAGAGTACCCAGCCATCAGATTACTTATGCCCCTTGAACTAGAGGAATTTACTAAACTCTGAAATAATGTATAATTGTTACATTATATTGTAAAATAAACACTCATTTTGCAGCACTAAGATTTATTTTATTTGAAAAATAACAAGTGAGAACAGAAAACAGCTCTGTTTTATCCTGACCCGGCCTGTCATGCTGCTGCCACACTTTCTCTTTCTCTCCTCTACAGGAGGGAGAGTAATGAGAGTATGGCTACTTTATACTAGGACCGCAGGATTATCATATGGGCCTAGCCCAATTCTGGAACTCAATTTAATAGAACTGATATTATGCTAAATACATATTCTGTGTAGGCCTATTCCTTGATTCCTGGATTTGGACATTAAAAATCACCTACTGTCTGTCCAGTTTAGTAAAATAATTTCACCATGGGCAGATATTATATGTCTGTTGGTGGGGACAATCAAAACATCTCCCAGCAGGGAATATGTAGAAATAAAGTTGCTGAGGGTCTGAAATGGGTAGACTTGGGTAGGTATGACTGCAGAAACATTCAAAACTGAAAAAACGCATTGGACTCGTAGTAGAGGAGAAGAGTTGTATAACAGAAACATTTGTACAACAGAAATATATATTATTCTTTTTTATCCCCTAAAACCATCTTCCTCTAGATTCCCTATATTTACTATGTGACTCCTGTGGCCCCCTAGTTGGGAACCACTGTAAGCTCTAATTTTCTACACATTTCTATAAAGATGTGTGGTGCTTACAAATCAGGAAAGCAGAGGACTAATATTTACAATATTTATTGATGTTATTCAAGTACAGTGAGCATCATATTGTTCATAAGTCTACAGTATCATGGAGTGATGAAATAAAAAAAACTATCTGATCATCTCTTATTACCTTTCAGAAAGGTACTTTCATTACATTCCGTGTCTTTGTTATGAATATACAGTTGTGAATTGAAAATGTAGTGTGCACATACTTATATGACCAAACAACACATATGGAAACTGATATTTACATTTATCTTTTTCTCTACAGTTATCTGCCACCCTTCCACTACATCTCAAATTGCATGAGAGAATGGATTTTTTTTTGCGGATCCCCAGGTGAACCATATTCAGTTTATCAAGCACAAGTACAAACACACATGACAAGGAGGGGGAACCCATGTAAACAATAGAGCTGTGAGTTGTCCACACAAACAGACAGACAGACACTGGGGTGTGTGTCTTAGGACTCTACTTTTAATCTAAAATGTTTCAGTGCTTTTCAATGCTTCATTTGGAAAAAGGAAAAAATACAAAAAGGAGCAATATAAAAGCAATAATTTCTTATATAAAAATGTACACAAAATCCCACTGCAAGACCAGCTCGAAAATTATTTCAAGCCCTACTCCTATTCCTGCACCCTTCCCTGGTACGTCCTTTATATTTTCTTCACTCTGTCTCACTCCTCAGTTAGCTATGACTGAAGGGTTCACGTTGACAATTACTTGGACGACAAAGTCCTTCTGGATCTTGGCGTCTTGCAAACGAGTCTTGTCAGTCAGGAGCTTCCCGGAAAAGAACCACCTCTGGCGGATCACATCAATTTCTTCCTGTTCTTTCAATTGTTTCTTTAGCTCAGCGATGGAATCAGCCATGCTGGCTGTCAGACGCACATCCTTTCCTAAGAAAACCACAAGGCATAAATAGAGTTGACACAGATTTTGGAACAAGCTGTGAGAAACTGAAAAGCTATGAATTATACATCCTTCTCCAGCCTAGATGAGACAACATGCGATGAAATGTCATATGCCTGGGGAAAGCCGCATAACATGTAGTTGTTTAGATTTAAATGTCCTATATATATTATAGGTCACACTGGGCGTTTCTTACCTGTTGACAATCGCACCCGCAGCTGGAACTCTTGTCTGCATGGAGGGGGTTGAGCTTGTTTTTGTGTGGATTCAGAAACTTTGCTATCACTGGATGTTTCGCTGATGAGATTGACTGGCGGGGCTAAAGTGTACGCCGGGAGTTGGTAGCGGTTGCCCAGTTCATCATAACTCTCTGTGAGAGAACCTGCAGAGGGAGAAATGACTTGCATAAACAACAGGATTCCATCAGTAACAGCGACTAACTTTAAATCTGATACATAAACCCCTTCTCTACTGCCAACCATTGTCAATACACGAGGGGAAGCATTAGGCCATCACATTTACATTATATTTACTTACATCACATGTAAATCAACAATACCAGTGTCCTTGAACTAATCAAACTGTTACAAACAACAACACTCCTGTGTGTGACTAGGTAAATATACACGAGCAGAGTGTTTTTTCCACCTTACTCTGCCATGGCTGTCTGTGCACCAATCCATTCACAGCGGTCACACAGCACTGCGGCTATTATGTAACTATTACAGCAGTAATCTCTGAACAACTGATGCATGGGATTCTGCAAACTGTCCTTTGACATTTTAAGAATTATTACAGTGAGTTATGTATTTGTGCTGGAAGTTCCAGGACATTTACAGCTTATAGTTGATAGCTGGATGAAGCACATTTCCATATCTGAGAGGGCATGTGTATGTGTGTGTGTTCATGTGCCTGTGGGTGGTTTCATACCATGTGGCAGAGTAATGCAGGCTCCATCCACTATAGCCTGTGCTAGCTCCAGGTCATTGCACTCTGCAGCCAGGGCTGCTGCTCTGAGTGCATCCCAGATCTCTTTTCGTCCATCAAAGGCCGGAGCCGTATCCCAAAACTCATCTCTCTTACTCCTCAGCTGGCCCTCTGTCATGGGGTACTCACTCTTCCACTTTGGACGCTCCTTCTTGAGGGGCTCATTGCGTCCTGAAAGAAAAAAGAAGGCAGTGTTCAACATGATCTAAGGACTGATCTAAGCAACTTTTAGTTTTGAAAAAAGGTACCAGAAACTACATTTGCAGTTAATTTATCCTAATGACATAATAGCCGCAGTTAAGACAGCTAAGGTAAAAGGGATTATAGGGCAGTCGAACCAAGTATCAGGTAGTGAAGCTCTGAGAAACCTGCTTACTATGTAGATGGTTGCCAGGTTGGCTCAAGTCACAACTGCTCTAAAAATGGCTGAGCACTTTACCACTACCCCAGACACGAGTGAGTGGCAAGAATTATTATTGTGTAACTCAAATGTCTGTGTTACCAATATATTGTACTCAGCAGAGCTATAGTTTTAAAATAAATCACAAAATATCTATTTATGGTACCTTTTTGAACTTATATAAGAGCATCAACACTTAAAAAAACAAACTATTATGAGCAGAAGAAAAATTTCCCAATATAATATAAAACACTTGGATGTCTCATGTAAATACCAGTGAGGTCAGACAAGGACAAAAGGGCTCATCTTAAGACACACAATGCGCTTGAATCTGTGATATTCAACACCATTTAATTTGCTATATATAGACTAAGGAAAGCTAATTACTACTCTGCATAAAACTGCCATAATGAGTAATCTTAAACTGCAGGGGTTTTCACATTAGTATATACGGTATATCCACTGAACCAGCATACCAAGAAAGTCTTTTTGAGAAGTGATTATTTCAAGTATCATTGATTACGACACATACATGTGCACTGACATGTACTCACACACACAAGCACACACCAGTGGATTACAGGCAGTAATCAGGTCCCACATAACAGGATTTATCGGTGTGTATCCCGTATGGCATTGGTTGAAGAGATGAGCAGCATTGAGATTTGGCCAATGAAAGCCAGCAAAAACACTCAGGGACTAATACAAGTCTACAACAACATGCACATGAAAACACAAAGCTGCTATAAATCAATGATCAAGTTATCACTAGGCATCACTGTCACGCAGTCAATTATATATATACTTATATCTTGTGCATATCATGCAATGTGGACAAATTTAAATTATATTTATTGGAATTAACAACACAGGTGACCGTATATTGATACATGTGACACCATGTATCTAGGGTGTATTTTTCACGTGTGCCTGCGTAAGTATTAATTCAGAAGTACGATGTACACATTTTATCATTTACATTTTATGCATTAGAAATAAAAGGCAATGTTGTAATATCAACCTTCTCATATTTAATGCCAAAATTACAATAAAGCAGAAATCTGGAGAAAGTAACTGCTATAAATATATTCCTCTGATCCTGTATCTGTGACATTATTATGTTAATGAATATTCTATTCTTTTTAATTCTCTTGCACAAACATGGGTTTTTAGTGTTCATGTCTACTTTTGTTACTGTAGCTGCAAGTTGCAAATGAGTGCTTTAACATGCCAGCCACACAACTGCAAATATTATCATTATTATTATTATTATTTGCCTGGAATTCTAACGAGTAACCCGAGTGACGAAGGCTTGAAGGTAGACTGAGATAATTACAAGTTGCATTGACCTTCTGTGATGCCAAATGAATTCAAGAAGTATGCGCATAACAGCTTGAGAGAAAAACAATTATTTAGCCAGAGTATTCAGAGACACATTCAGAGACAATATGAGGGCCAAATCCCTTCCTAGGTTTCAGTTCAGAGGCTTCATCGGATATTTTTAAGTCAGGAGGTCTGAAAGAACGCACACGAGCCACAGCACGTTACACACTGAACACGCTTGATCAGAGCTTGTACTGACTGTACATAGTTAAACATAACATCACTGTAGGTACCTTTTCAGTTTGGTTTTGTGCTTACTAGAATGAGGCGGACGTAATCAGTGACGACAACCTGCATTATATGAAGAATGTTTTATCCACCTCATTGCTGTAGTAAGTCGGTGAGCGTGACGTAAGTAGTAAGTAAAATTTGTTTAGTATAGCACCTTTCACAGAGCAAGGTCACACATTTGCTTCACAAGAGTAGAACTATTAAAACTAGACCATAAAAACAGTAAAAGAAACAACAATAAAAAATAAGAAACACCATAAAAAAACAGTAAGAATGAATCAAACAATAAAACATAAGCAACAAAAGACCTTTAAAGCACACACGATTACAAACACTAGACAGCACAAGGTGAGACAAAGCCAAGTGTGAAAAGATGAGTCTTCAGCTGGTTTTTAAAGGCATCAACAGAGACGGCAGAAGGTAAATCTATAGGAACAGCGTTTCACTTCAAAGGCACGATCACCTTTTGTTTTCAGTCTAGCGCAAAGGACAACCAGTGAGCCCTGTTCAGAAGACCTAAGCGACCTACTACTGATATAAGGGTGGAGCAGGACAGAGATGTACACAGGCCATGAAAGGCTCTATAGATGTGAAAACAAGAACCTTAAAATGAATCCTGAACCTGCTGGGAAGCCAGTGTAAAGATGATAGGATGGGTGTGATGTTGATGTGTTCAGAGAGAGAAGCTTTGACAACATGTCCTCAGCTGTAAATCTACCTACCTGGAAACTAAGCTTAGTTATTTCAAATTCAGTCAGTGGATGAAAATCTTAACCTCACACTTAAACATTCCTGGTGGATGGAAAACAACCTACTTAGTGTCTGTCATGTAAATGAATGTGTTAATTTTATTATTAATACTGCACCATTTCTATATACTACCTTAATAACTACTACTAGTTTTAATAGTCAGCCCAAATGGATTGATGGATTAAATACCCTTCATACTGGAAAATACATCAGTATGTAATACAACGCAGCAACATCACCTAAATATCCGAATTGCAACCTTAACTGAATTAAATCAGTCTCACGTTGCCTACAACATGACATCAATGTCCGTGAACGCATGGATCTCAGTAAGAGGCAGCAATGTGGATTTTGTCTATTATATTGTTATGATCTCTTTGTTTTCCATGTATTTTTTTGCCATTTTCCTTCTCTTCTTCTTGGTTTTCATTTGCTGTATTTAATTTACAGTATTCACTGTTACAGAAAGTGAGAAAATCTAAAAATCTTAATATAATAACAACATGACAACAATAAAAACAATAGCATCAACAGCACAGGCAATCTTGAACTCAACACACACAATGAGCCGTACAAAAGTGAATTCACAAAAACATGAAAGAATTTCTTTCCCCCAACACAAAAATCTATACTTACTTTTCAGCATCCTAAAGGGTGTGTTTGGAGCGTGATAGTAGTTGTATTCCCTGGAGTTTGGTACTCCCATAGCTGTTCTTTTTCAGAGGTTTGTTGTGAGTCACTTTAAACTCCGCATTAATGAGGTATAGACACTGACCCTGAGAAAGAGGACTGCTGTGTCCAACCAGCTTGCTGCAATCGACGAGACAACCACCTGATCTAGTTTTACTGCGACGTGCACACTCGTTCACCTTGTGACACTTCCCCAGTTGTTTAAAAGTGACCACCGTCCCTCCACTTATTTCCCTTCTAATAACACCACACAACCCCAAAAATAACACAGGATCAGTTCATGGAAAGCGTTCAATATATGAGTACGTTGAGTGTCCTAGCCAGAAGGTAGCTTATTTACACAAGAGACCTAATCCTATCATCTCTATTTAGGGACAGGATAGGAATACCCAAAGGCAACATGGTAAACCTATTAACAGACAATAAACCCCTGACAGACTATTACTGTCTGTTTGAAGGAGATGCAACTGTACTTCTGCGAACAGGTGATTGTTTTTCTTCACAAAGGCTCTGCAATTTATTAAATAAAGACAAATCTGTCTGTCAGATACTGTATATCCACAACTATTAGTCAGGCAGTTCATTACAGAGCATTCCTGTGTTTCCAGGTCTAAGTCTGTAAACATCATCTGAGAGGTCATGTCTGCCTTGCAGGTAAATGATCCCTCTCTGCATGTAAATATATTTTGCAGACTATTACTGTCTGTTTGAAGGAGATGCAACTGTACTTCTGCGAACAGGTGATTGTTTTTCTTCACAAAGGCTCTGCAATTTGTTAAATAAAGACAAATTTGTCTCTCAGATACTGTATATCCACAACTATTAGTCAGGCAGTTCATTACAGAGCATTCCTGTGTTTCCAGGTCTAAGTCTGTAAACATGATCTGAGAGGTCATGTCTGCCTTGCAGGTAAATGATCCCTCTCTGCATGTAAATATATTTTGCAGCAGGTCGACGTAAGGCAAATTGTGCACCAAGTAGGTCAAACTTTTATATGAAAACTCTCTATGCAGGCCGCCCGGTTGCTGCTCAATACATAATGCATGACACTCCAGCCTAGTGCTGTGTTGCTTTTTCCTAATGCATTGACCAGTGTTTATATAAAACACACAGTCCTCAGCACAGATTGGACAAATGACTAAAGCATGCGGCCTGAAACATTTAACACCTGAGACAGTAAGCTGTCAGACTGAGAAAGATGTCCATGCAACAAGGGGTGTAGCTCGGAATCCTGCTCCTAACCTGCAGTTTATCGTGAACGCATGATGTTAAGGCTTCATCTTATCTGGTGCTATACATATATATATATATGTGTGTACAGCCCTTTGCACTTTCCTGTGCAAGGTACTATAGTGAACATTGCTGTGTTGTACTGGTTCTGACAGTGTGTCCTGGTATAATTGTGTCTGCCTCCCTTAGCATTTTCCCTTTATCGATGATAAAATAGTAATCCAATTTAATGTAACAGTGCTTGGCCTATAAGAATGTTTGTAGGCTCTATCTCAAGCGCAGGCCTCATATTGTCACCACCTTTCATCTCGTGTGACAGCACTCTCTGCAAAAATAAATGTATAGAAACTGCCCCAGTTTCTGGTTTAAGGACATTGCCATTAGACTTAAAGCACCGTTGGTGCAGCAGTGTTTCTAAAGCACTCACAAGAAAAATATGTTCTTATTCCAGCACCTGAGAGTCTGCAGTCCATTGTGTTTTCAGCTTCTTACCTCCACGTTTTTTGCTCCTTGTCGAGCTCCGGGCACTCCCTTGTCCATCCATCCTACTCCTGCCCACACAGCCTCCCATCACTGTCCCTATATCCCACACCAAGGAGAAAAATCATCAGTCTACCTACATAGTTGCCATATATTCAAGTGGAAATGCTTTCAAATGTCGGGTAAACAAACAGTTAATACTGATGTAAAATTAAGTGCCTTATGAGAAAAGCATCATCAGGGAATAATGACAGCTCAGCACTCCTTGTTCCTGTGAGGTCAGACAAGCTGCGATGTTTATGTCACGTGTACTGCCAGCTGACGGCGACACGCGCCTGAACCTCATGCCAACGTTGCTCTGATTATCACTTCATACATATATATATATTTTTAATGTTTTTATGCACTTTAACAATTTATGTTTTCTGTTTGTAATTTAAAATATGCACTTGCTTCATTTGCAGTCGTGTTAGTCACGTGCCTTTTTGCTATAACCTATCCGTATTTTATTTTTTTTTAAAACAGCTGTGATTCATTTTGCCTACCGGATATCCAGTCTGCTAAATTATGCATTCGTCTGCAGTTTGCTTGCCACATCCGAACTCGCTTCCAAGTGAAGTTATCACCGGATCCTGACGCGATGATCAGCAGAAGATGCGACTCCGCAGGTGACAGACACAAAGTGGGAGCAATGTGTCCGTGCAGGGCTGGCGGACTGGCGACCGGTCTGGCCCGGCAGAGCCTCCCCCAAGTCTCAACAGCTTCTCCAAAAAATAAATGCAATCAGCATCCGTATTCCCCCCGAATCATAACGCATTGAGCCCGCACAACCCGCTGATGTCGAATTAAATCAGTAAATCAGTCTACACGCATGCGCAGCTTAGATTAATTATTCTATCCTGCGTCAGGTTAATCGGAATAAGATCGGAAACTGAGAAGTCAATCCTCCAGAATAATAGTGCCGATTGGAAATAACCATTCAACTCGAAATCAAGCAGAATTTTAAAATAATGAAAACGCTAATAACGATAAATTTGGTGAAAAAACACAACCGTGAAATAAATATTCGGGATTATTGTGCAACACATTTGCATTCCTTAACATAGATTTTCGTCTGAAATGAAAGGCGGAAGTTGATTGTTAATTATAACAATTAATAAAGGTTTCTCCAAAGTCGAAGTGCGTTTTATCCTTTTTTTTTTTTAAAGTCTGTTATTGTGTTATTTATATAACTTAAAAATTAAGACACTAACTGATATTGTTTGTATTTCCTCTTACAAAATCCCAATTTTGAGCCAAAGGTCTCACCTCTATAAGGTTATTTAGCTTCATTAGCTTTGTGGAAACAGCCTGACACAGACTAAATAAAATCAGCTATCTAGTTTACATCTATAGCCTATTGGATTATGTTGTATCTTGGTTTGGGAACAAGTTAATCCTGTTCAATTTAAGCTTGGCACAAACACAAAAGTTAAATCTATATAGCCTATCCATTTATAGGTTTATGTGCATTTATAGTATGTGCAAATGAAGGTAAAAACAGAAACACCTCACAATATAAATAGCTTCAGCTGCCTGATGAGGAAGGTTACCTTTGTCTTCCACAGAATTGTTAGATAGAAGTCCTGAAGTGTGTGAAGAGTGTGTGGTGGAGTACTTTATCATTTCTCACGAAGCATCCAAATACTTGAGATTTAATGTAAAAATAAAAGCTAACTTAATAAAAATTTACTCTGTAGCCGATTTAATGTGCTCAACTTGATCCTGGCCTTCATGACAACAACAGTGTGTGTGTGTGTGTATGTGTGTGTTTGTGTAGGGTTGTTACGATCTTGAAATAAGAGCATATAATGAAGGTATGGACATATTTGCACCATACAGATTGTACTTAGCATCCTAATGTTTGGCCATTATAGATCTATGCCAAGCATTCACCACAGCATGTCACTCTAACGGCTGCTCATGCAAGCGCAACCACATTTAACAGTTGGTAACAGAAATCGTAAAAATCTAACTATTTGATGCACCAACATACCCAACAGGAGAGGAAATTGTCAAAATGAATGAATAGTATGAAGTGTAAATATATTTATTAGGAAACAACACTTCAATAGTTGTATCCTAATTATTAGAATTTATGATGCCCTCTAATATAAACCGTATTAATATAAAATTATTATGATCAATTAATCTTATCCTCCCAACATACTGTACAGCTACTGACCAAACTTGACATGTTGGACACTGACATCTTCTGGAAGATTGAGTATTGACAGGTCTGTGTGTGTGCATGGTTCAGACAGAGCGGGAGGCTGTGATGAGCAGTGGCAGGGTAAAATCTGTTATCATCCCTTAAGCTTCTCTGCCTTTATCAGACAATCTCTTCCTCTCACATTCCCCCCTCTAACTGGCAAGATCTCCAACCATTTTCCAACTGTTTTAAAGGCATTAAATGAAAAATCTAATCAAATAAAAATTCCCTGTGCATCTCCACTGCTGTAGCTGCTTGTTTCTGATGTACTATATTCATATGAATCTGCAGATCAAATCTGGTATGCATCTAAATTAATCCTCCCCTACTAGCGGCATATCTCCGGGTCTGTCTGCTTAAGCAACACTGTGACATAACACTGGAGCCGCTGTTAGCTTGCTCAGTCTTTTAAAGGGAGCCTGGGGTAAAACAATTTGAATATCATTACTAATAATTATTCAGGCACATGAACTTACCTTAAAATCACCAGAGTGAATATTTATACTTTTATAAGATGTGCAAAAAATCTGTGTATGTCTAATAACAGTGAATGTGCATATTTAATAACTGAATACTCAATGTGTCCAACTGTTTAAGATAAGCAATTTATAAAGATTGATTAACTTAACAGGTACAAAATACAGATAAATAACACATTATCATGGTACTACAGCTTGCCTTGAAAGTTCATTTCAAATGATAATATTGGACAGGGGTGAGCATGTGATGGGAGGAACCATTATGTCCTAAACCTTTGCGGGGGGTTCTTTGTTTTAGTTTTTCTTTGTAAATATCAGCTTGGGTTTTATTTTAAAGGTAATTCAGTCCAAAAAAGTCAGTCAGTCAGTAGACATGGCTTATAAAATTATCAAACCCATCACTAGTTCAATTGAGAGTCAAGTAAGACCAGTCTGTAAAACCAGGTGGAGAACAAACCATCCATGACACAGTGCCTTATCACTGGTGAAAAATGTAGACCGTCAAACTGTGAGCAATGCCACAGCATATGAGGTATTGAAGGTTGATATGACTCCATTTCTTCAGCTGTATTATGCCACCATGCAAGGATCCTTTAAGCCAAACGGATCAGTGACCAGAGCAGGTTGGACCCAGCAAAGTCTGCTGAAATTAGGCTACAAGTATGCCAAAGTAGTAGTACCCATCATACAGGTATTAAGTCCTTTTTAACTGGGAATACGTCCCACGTCAAACCATCACCAGGTGGGGCGTGCCCAGAGGGAAGGAGAACACGTGTCACCCAGTGACTAGAGACAAAAGACAAAGGTTACAAGAGTAACAAGGCAGCATGTGTCATATTTGATGCACGGGCACCTTAACAGATAATCATTATAAACATCAGAGACACACCTTCTCTTCTCCACGCCAAAGAAGACTTTCCAGTTATTCAGCCTGCCAAAATTGAAAGGGTTCCTGTATACCTGGCAGATCAGTTTAAGAAAAAGAAATGGAATAGTTATAATAGGTCCCTGCTGTTTAAATCAAAACATGTTTTATTTATATTTAAACCATGTGACTTGTGTTAATTGATTTTTGGCTCATCATAAAAAAAATCTCTTTATTTTAACTGATTACAACCTGAATTCATTTAACATTTGAAATATTTTACATGCTTACCCTTCCTCGTTTTGCCATTCGCTTTGTTTCTTTGCTGTTAATGTGTCTCTCTATGCTGGTCTCCCCTCTGGATATGAGAACTGCATGCCAAAGAGTGAGAGCTCCCAGAGCCACGCCCGCTGTGCTAAAAACAAAAAGAAAAAAAATTATATATATTATATATATTATTATATATATATATAATATATAATTTTTTTTCTTTATATATACCCATTTTATTACATTCGCTGCCAAGATAATAAACGACAACCGACATGTCCTCATTCTATACTATATAGTGACAGTATGTCATTTATAATGCACCCTGTTTGGAGTTGGCAGGAAACAAATCAATGTACTTTATTGTTTTGTACTAACAGGAAGTGATAAAACGTATGCAATTCAAATTGCAAACTTGGAATACCTCTGCAAGTTATGGAGGAAACAATATGGTTTTCCAAACATGTAATACTTATGAGATCTACCTGGAGTTATTTCACCACAATCCACAGTTTGTTTTGATTTGCAGCTGTGAGTAGCTCCTCCATTTCTTTTGTGCATCACATTGTGGGACAACAGCATGCTTAAACATCAAGCAGATTTCGTGCTCATACTGATATCTTTGAGTATACTTCTCTTGTCACTATCCCAGTGTCAACACATTACATACACAAAGCCTGCTTTGAATTAGTTTGTAATATGGATTTAACAGTAGGTGTTACAGTCAAATGAAGTGCATTTTTTACCTGGTAAGCACCCACATGTAGATGATGCTCTTATGAATCATCTTATCCTTAAAGGTGTATGGAGGTGCAGGTGTCTGATAGTTGGTCTTTACAAAAATAAAAAGAGCACTTATTACATAACAAACAGATAATTTAAAAAAACACATATGCTTAACAATGTTATTGTGTGTGTACTTCTTAGCCTGTACCTGGCCAGGAGGGAGAAGCCCTATAAGAAGTCCCATCCCTGTTACTGGTACCCCTGGCTTGTCCATGTCCAAATGCTTAAAGCGCTAATGGAACAGCCCGCGACAGAAACAAGGCACTGTCAGTAAGGAACAGTTAAGCCCCGCAGAGAAAGACACCAGACATGGAGAAAACGTGACAGACAAGGGCAAGCAGGCTAGCAACAGCAGCCCCAACAGTGTGGTGTGAGTCAGAGCATCTCACCTCAATAGCACTGTATGCATCTAGGAACAGGTTTCTGCCACTGATGCTGCAGTAGGCACAGCCCAAGGTCATGAAGAGGCAGAAGGAGAAGAAGTAACGGTGGTTAAAGTGGCCCACGCAGTTATTCAACCAGGCTGAGATGCTGACATTAAGGAAAACCAACCTTCTCTTCGTAGTCTCATTATGTGATTTCTGATACTACAAAAAGAATATCGAGATGAAAAAATGTTAGCACAAAGGATACGACAATGATGGTCCATTTTCAGAATGCACCTGCAAAGGAAAAAAGAACATATTCAGTCTGATTGATTTATTAGATATTTGTAGCTCTGTTCTCAAAATCATATTTTCACAAACATGGTTCCATCTTTGACAAAGACTATTTCTATCTTTGTAAGATTGCCCTCATCATCAGTACTGGAGAAACAATTTTACAGATTTTTCAACTAAATCAACTAGTTAATTAGTTAAAGAAGTCCTAAGATTATAGGTCGACTAAGGTATTTAGTCAAGCCCCTTTGCTAACCTTCATTGCCTTTGTTAAGATTTTGGAAGTTTGAAATGTAACTTAACAGCACCACAGGCTTTCCAACCCACCCTTAGCTTTAGCTTTGTTAGTAAAACAAAAAACAAACATACATTCTTCCCAATTAAAGATAAAGACAGTGAAATACATAATACTCCAAAGACAAACCTCTCATCAATAAAGGAAACACATAAGAGAAAAACAACATTGACCCACCTGTTACAGATACCACAGTGGTGTGTTCTTGCTGGTTTGGGCATGATGCATTTTTTGCAGACTGCCACAAATGGACTGTCATTTTTTTCCTGATTGAAAGACAACATTTTTGTTGCATTACTAAATATGAAATTCATCCAAGGCCAGATTAGTAAAGCTATTTGTGACTGTGCAGAAAAGTTTATTTCTTACTGTAGGAGGGTACCCAGGGGAAGTCTTCGTGGCCTTGTAGTAATTGAAAACAATCATGACGAGGTTCCAATGTCCATAACAAACATGCCAGGCAATCCATGCAGGGGAGTATGTGGTGAGGATCAGAGGCAGTAGGATCAAGTAGGCGATCGCCAGGATGGAACTGGTCAGTATCACCACCAGACAAACAAACACCTTTCAGGAAAAGACAGGAGACACCAATAGAGAACTTTCTTTAGGGAAAAACTTAGAAACTCCCATTTACTAATTAAAGCACACAAACAAACACACACTCACCGTGCCAAACCAACGGGTGACATAATCCACAGTCCAAAACACTGGTTCAAAAACTGAGTCGAAAACCACATCCGAGTCTGTGAGGGAGTTAAAGTACAGTGACTGCAGCACCAGACTCAAGTAAGCCCATATTTCTCTAATCCACAAAGGCAGCTTGTTCTTTCCTCTCCTGGAACACGACTGTAACCGCACACAGCGCAGTAGGTGGAGCACTGAGCTGGGACACCACCGCATTCTGCATCTGTAATATGCACACACCTTTGAGAAAAAAAATAAAGATACAGTTACAAGTTGAAAATCAGCCTTTTCTATTTCAATTGCAACACTAATTCTGTTAGTAGTATCTATTGTCACTTGCTAGATCTCTTACTTTACTGATGCTTGTATGTTGTTCCTCAAATGTCAGTCACTTTGGATAAAAGGGTCTGTCAAATGAGTAAATGTAAATGTGATTGCATGTATAATATATCCATCCACAACAAAAAGGACATAGAAAGTAGTTTCAACTAACAATCCAGTCTAGGGATGCAAATATTGTCACTATGGCAAAGAAATATTTTCTCGATTAAATCAGTTAATTGATTAGTCTATAAAATGTAGGAAAATACTGAAAAATGCCCATTGCAATATTCCAAAACCCACAATCGGTTTTAATTCAAAAGCCTAACCCGAAGATATAAAATTTACTATCACTTAAGACACATAAAAGCAGCACATTGTTAAATGGGAAGCTGTAAGGAGACAATCTTTGGCATTTTAGCATGAAAAATTACAAACAGTTAAATTAATCGATTATCAGAATCGTTTCAGCTCTAATCCAGTGTATTATATCACACTTACCAAACGCTGAATTTGGGAGCCTGTCAACTTGGATCTTCTAGCAGATAAGCAGTTTATATAACTCACCACATTAGTCTGTGGCAGTCTGACACTTTAACTTCATCAGGTACGGACTGCTACAAATTTAAAGGCGTAGGTGAACAAGCCAGAGCATCCGCTGATGAATCCAATGGAAACTCACTGTGATTGTGTGAACGGACGCTGGCTGCTTGTGACCAAAAGCCAAGAAATACAAAACAGTCTTGCTTTTCTGCATTCCAGACAGGGTGGAGTCTGGGTGGAGGTTTTGCTGTTAGTGTTACCTGAGGTGAGAGGGGCAGTGGTCTGGAGTGGAGCTGACTTTTTTTTTTCTCAGCAGCAACATTCAGCTTTACTCCCGCGGACAGGCTATTCAAAGACCACTGCACGGCAAATAGCTAAGCGGTCGCACCAAGGAAGCCTTAACAGTTCATTTGTCCATCACACACTTTGCTGTGTGAACAGTGTCACAGAATCCTAACGCTCCCAAACCCTTTTGTGTGGCTGTCACACAGTGTTGTCTATTCAAAAACCCGACGCTGTTTGCTGCGTTCTGATATTTACTAACGTTTCAGATGTATTTGAGGGAATACTCACTGTTCTATGAAGGCAAGACAAGTGCCGAAAACACCCCTCCCGTCGACATTTTCAAGAGGAGGCAAAAACGGGATTATGACCACATTTTAGCGGAGAAGAGCAGGCTCAGGGACCATCTGTGACAGTTACTCTGAATCCGATCTGGAGTTAGTGCGCATGCGCCATTGGCGGCGAAAGGCATCATGGTAGTGTGAGTTAGGAATTAATGACAACATTTATGACACGGTTGGTTTCTACCATTGAAATGTACGTTTATGTGCCTACATTTCCTATGCTACATGCCCTTAAACTTAATCTCATTTAAGCGGATTTGTAACGGCTGCTTAATTTCTGTGGTTATCGGAATTCTGGGACTTGCAGTTCTTACACGCAGCGGCTTAGCTAAGCTACACTTGCACGCTAGTTTGCTCGCCATGTGGAGCAGCCTGCAGTAAACTTTCCAACCTCAAACTAGCTGTGTGCGGTTTTGTCAGTCGTCATGTCGTTTTGTTTTAACTTCGATGTTCCAGCACTAACAACAAACCTGGACGACGCGGGTGGAAATGGCCTGCAAAAGGGAAAGAAAGACAATGCTGCAAAACCTGTGAGTAACATTACAAATAAGTTTTTTTCTCTTTTTAAATACAGTCTATGTTTTTTCGGGTTTTTCTAAATTAACCTAAAGCTGTCAGGTTGTGATGTCAGATTGTAGTTTCCTCTCAAGTGACTTGGGCCAGTCGACCCGCGGGCGCGATTGTAGGTACAATATGCAGTGGCTTGTGTAATTTTGAGGGCTTGTCAGGGCAAGAACAGTACACGCTGTAAGTAAGGCACTAACATTATAGGCTTAGCCAACTTTGTTTGTAATAACATCTTTATTACTGCACAATATGGCATTCAAATCTGTAGCAATGCAAATAGAGCAAGTAGGACCAGGACAGCATCAAAGCAAAGACAGTAAAACAATAAAACTGTAAACAAATAATCGTTGAAGTTATTCATTTTTCATTCTTAAAATAATCTTAACTCAAAGTCCACTTACTTTCACACTTCTTGGTCTTTATTAGCCTACTTATTTATGTAAACATAAATAACGTTAAGCTTAAAAAGCTCAAGCTTAATGACCCAGTTTATTAAACAGATTCCCTAATCATTTTAATAAAAATGGAGCTGAGATCACAAAACCCATCTGGTCAACTCTTAAAAAGAGAAACTAATACATGACTTGATAATATTTCTGGACTGGCTGGAGTGAAGGTGAGAACACCTTTAAATGTGCAGTGTGTAGGATTTAGTAGCATCTAGCGGTGAGGTTGCAAACTGCATTTAATTTAATTGCAATTATATAAAGAAGGGGGAGTGTCTCCAGCAGTCTTTGGTATCCACCATGGATGTATAAGAAAATAACTTACAATGCTTCTCAGTCCCAAAGATGGCGCCTATTAAGTCCACTGCGAATTTCTCAGCTGACGTATTCGCCGTATGTGGCCATATCCCATTTGCTAATGAAGGCAGTATGTTTTATGACCTATACTGCCAGCCACCAGGGGGCGATCGATGTTTTGGTTTCACTTTGGGGAGCTCTCATGTGTCCATCTTTATATACAGTCTATGGGTACATCCAAGCCTCTTATTTGCATCCACATTTCCCTCACTTGCTTCTTTTCCTTATAAGACCATGAGAGGAGAGAAGAAAAAATCAAATCCAGTCCATTTTATTTATAAAACACAAATGTTTACAAAGTGCTGGACAAGAAATAAAACGCATAGAACAAATAAAACAACATAAGACCACTCAGTTTTCATACTGGGTTAAAAGCCAGGGACTACAAGTGAGTTTTAAGACAGGATTTAAAAGCTTTCTGATGATGGCTGCAGGAGTTTACAGCTGGATCAGCTGTCAGTCTCCTAACAGCTGTAGAGACTGTACACACATTTGTATTGTGCTAATACTAATATAGGCACACCTTTATCACTGCCAGAGCACCATGTTTTCTCTCTGTAGCTGGTACCTGTTGAAGAAACACCTACACATGAATAACAGCCTTCATTCTGTATTAATACTGTGTCCTCAGAGTCACAGGATAATTATTTAAAATCACCAATCATTTATTTATTTGTTATCTGCATTTGTATTTATGGATATTCTGATTGTGAATTCATTATTGAATAACCTAGAATGTGATCATGGTGTCTTTTGAACATTGGAAATTATTTATTAGGTTTAATGTTTCAGGGGAAAATTTATAAATTAATGTATAAATTTATGTAACTCATCAGTCCAACCTGATGCTCAGGAATTATCAGCCTCACAAATGGAAATGACGATAAATGAGATATAAATAGTTTCTTGCTGACAGCAGACTCTCCAACTCTTTCTCTCACTTTAATTGTATCCGTAATAAAAGTTATTGGGTATTTTTTCTAATAAATCAAGAAAGTTTGTGGTCCTTTTTTTGTTCAGACCAGAATTAAAACAGATTTTTAACTATATGGTGAAACGGAAAACAAATTAAAAAAAAAAAAATTGGGAGTGATACACTTGAGTTTAATCTATTATTTGTCTTTACCCCTGTCTGAAACTCCAGTGACGTGATGTATCAGATCTGTTCATTCAGCTGCAGTGTCTAATCAAAAACTAATATCCATAAAGGGGCATGTCGGCCAGTAAAAGCAACACGTCCTCATACCTAAAAGACTAAATAGGTTGATTGTCATGTGTCCCATGACATATATGACTGTTTTCCAAAACGACATGTACGAGCGTTGGCAAGTACCAGCCCAGTGATGTAAGTCATGTATTAACACATGGTAAATGTTGTGAAATGGTGCTAGTTTAATTAGGTTTAGGCAACCAAACTATTAGGTTTAAAAGATTGTGGTTTGGGTTTAAAATATTATTAATATTAATTAATAATATTATATGTAATATAATATTTTTAGATATGGATTTTTGATTTCCATAAGCTGAAAGCTGTAACCCTCAAGATTAAAACAAAAAAGGCCAGAAATATTTCACTTTAAGTGTAATGAATCTAGAATATATGAAAGTTTCACTTTTTGAATTAAATTACAGGAAAAAATCAACTTTTCCACAGTTTTCTGAGATGCACCTGTGTATATACACACGGATCATTCAACCTGTTAAATATCTAATTTTACAGGCTGGAGTGTAGAATCAAATGATGGAATAATATTGATTTTAAAATGTATCCAGCTATAAAGATAGACTTGTTTTGTGTTACAGTAAATACGAAGAAAGTAAAACAAAAATGCTGTTGCCCCTTGAATGGAGCACAGGAGAAGAGTGCAAAGGGACATCCCCCTCACTAATACACACACACACTCTACAATAACATGCATATAGCATATTATTTAATTGAGTCATTTCCACTGTATGAATGATTCCATTACAACAACGAAAAGTGGTCTGTTAGTGGGCATCCAAAGCGTGGGCTGACCATCTCCTTGCCCAAGAACCTTGACGTCATAGGGTGATCATAGGGCATATCAATAAGGAATCATACAAATTCATACTGATACTAACCTGTAGTTGTTACATATAGCTTTTTTTTTAGTATGAGTTGTTATTATGTCAGACACCACAAAGGTCTGAGGCATGCCAAAAAAAAACTTGCCATGCATTTTTATCTAAATTGTTGTGCTATGGTGGGTGTGTCTACATGCACAGTTTGACTAACCGATCTACACATGACAGTGTTTCAGTCACACACTGAATCACATGGCTGATTTGTAACAGTCCCATGTCTAAGCTCACAGCTAGGTAACCAGCCTTTAGTAAAGCAACTTTTTTAATAAGAGCATTTAGAAACTAAAGATACCGTATAAACAACTTTCATTTCATCACCAGGAGTCTCAATAGCCTTTTTTAATTTAAACTTGAAGTTGTGAACCCTATAAAACATGAATAGTATTTATTTTCTTAACCCAAACACTAACACAACACAGCATACTTATGGCATCCACAATTCATAGGAAATTCCTATGAAGACCCAAAAGCACTATGGTCGTTTAAATCTGAAAATTTCCATACTGTGAGTAGCTACAAAGCCTAAATGTATTGCGGATTTATACATGGACTGCTGAATGTGCCTCAAGCCATTAAATTGTCAACTTGAAACACATGTTGTCTATATGTATGTCATATATTTCCACAGAGCCGTCAGATGCATACGTAGCTGAAGGAGTAAATCTGTTCCCTAACCATACATACTGCTTTGTATTTTTCAGATGGAGGAGAATACCAATCTAGCAGAGCCGGTGAAAGAAGCCAAAGAGCACCTTCTACCATCTGACCCACAGCTCCTTCTCATGGATGCTGTCACTGAAACAGTTACCATAGGAACTCTTCCTCCTCTTCATTTCCTCAACGAGACAGTTTTTGAAAAGACGGCGTCTGAGAGAGAAGACGGGGAGAAAATTCTTTCTCGCACTGCGGAGCAGAGGTCTGATCTCATCTCTGGCGTTTACGAGGGAGGGCTGAAGGTGTGGGAGTGCACGTACGACCTTCTGGAGCTGATTGAGAAAGACGGAGAGACCTTTGGGGGGAAGGCAGTTTTGGATTTGGGCTGTGGTGCGGGCCTGTTGGGGATATTGGCCTTGAGGAGAGGAGCCAGGCAGGTCCACTTTCAAGATTATAACAGTACAGTTATTGAACAGCTCACGGTGCCAAATGTAATACTTAACTGCCAGGAGGAGGATGAAGGAGAGAGTGAAGATGATGAAGAAGGGAAGAGCAAGGGAAAAATACAGGCGGAAGATGGCATCCCACCACCTAAGAAGAGAGCTGTAGACCAATCCAAGCACCTATTACAAGCCAAGTGTCGTTTTTTCTCTGGTGACTGGAGCACATTTATTGCGTTGGTTACAAAGGAGCTCCCACAACCCAAATATGACATTATATTCACCTCGGAGACCATCTACAACACTGCATACTACCCTTCATTACATGAGACCCTCCACAAACTGCTGGCCCCAGGTGGTCTAGTCTATCTCGCCACCAAATCCCACTACTTTGGTGTAGGTGGTGGACTGCACCTGTTTGAGACGTTTGTGGAGCAGAGGGGTATTTTCTCTTTGGATCACCTGTGGGATGGGGAAGAAGGACTTCAGAGACACGTAGTGGTCCTACGTTTTAAAATGGCAAAGTGACACAAATGAATAAGTAAAGCAGTCCTGGATTAAATATTCAGCTTTATTCATGTAATAACTGTCAGACTTCTGTGCTGTTTTAAAAAAAAGATTGGTGATTACGACACAGTTTAATACAAATAAAAATATCAGGATTTCCTCTCAGTATTCCCTATGAAAATGTATGTCAGAGCATTAATGCTAAAACAAGGAAACGCTGTAATAAAATATGCTGTCTCATCTCCCATTTGCTCTTTGGTTACCTCCACCTTCTTTCACTTCCTATATGGACATTTGAATATGTCTGCCAGTAAGAGAAGTACAGTTGAAAGGGGCTGTTACAGGTCTTTAGATGCATGGGGAGGAAAGAAAGGAAATGGGCTCAGTGACCTTTGCAAGTGATTTCCCCAGTGTTCAAACAGCAGCATGAAAGCCAGGCTTGTTTCTGAAGTCCGGCGCAAAATGTCAATTGCAACTTATCCCACCAGCCCAAGTATGTAGTTTGAAAGTGGATTCTAGAGTCACTGCACATCAATAGTGGGACTCTATGGGGTCTCTGTACCTCTTATTCTAGTAATGGCTCCTGTTGATTGTGTGGGATTTTACCTTTGGTTAAAGTCACTACATTATCTGGGTGTGCTAAGCAAAAAGTCATGACACATAACAACTTATATACATCCAGGAAGTATGTGTAAATGCGCATCCGAGTACAATAAGGGAACTTTGCTGTAATCTTTCCAACACCATGTGGAATCCCCTTTTTGTCTAGATCGAGGAAATCCACTGAATTAATCTAACAGGGCTTTTTTTCTGAGGAAGTATGCATGAAGTCCAAATTAGTTTACTGTATAAAAGATGACTAAAGAGGATGAGGAAATCGGAGGGTATTTTACAGGATCACTGAACAATGAAACTGTTTGAATATTAATGTCTGTGGGCACGTTTAAAAACTGTGGCCTGGCCCTCCTGACCCAGTCCTGTCAAACTCATCTGATTGAACCCAATCAGTTTCACATCCCTGTCATGTGTGACTATCACCAGGGAGCAAACAGAGTTATTTTAGGAAGGCTGTGTTATTGAATACACCCCTATCAGACTTCCCCTGAACAAATGACTCCAGCTACGCAAATATTCACAAGAATCGATCTCATCATTAACGTGCCCATGACGCAAGTACTATTCGCTGCCCTCCTGATGTATAATATTTAACAAAGATAAAAACACTATTCTAGGAAACATGGTGTCACCCGCTCAAACATGAATGTGCATGTCAACACCCACAGTGTGTGGACACAATTTCCAGTCACTTATTGTGTAAATATTCTGTAGCATTAAATACAATTTCACTCTTACCCTCATACAAAACACCAAACACGGTTTCTGTTTGCATATGCCCAGCTAGCAAACTTCCAGTGTGTCAGCTTCGTCATCGTCTCTCATCTCGACAGCTGTTCACGGCCTGTAGGGGAATTCCTAGTTCCTCGAGTAGACACAGCCTTTCCCCTGCTTACTTTATGGGAACAGGGGGCAGGGCCAGTCAGATGGTTTTCCTCAGAAACTGTTATGTGTTGATTCACTGTGAGGGGGCGTGCTGATCACTCCCACTGTTTCCTTCTTACTGGGAAGTGACTGTCAGGCTTACCGAACAGAGGGAGTGTATGAGAAACAGATAGAGATGAGGGAGGGAGACTGCTGGGTGATGTGAAAGGTGGTGGTATTTAAGGTTCTTAGCTCTGAATGTCAGACAGTGTGCCGTATCCTTCCGTGGGACTTGGACGACATGGAAGAGTGAGCAGAACGTGCAGGTGAACTGGTGAGGGATGGCTCACTGTATGTTCATTCAGCTTGGAAAGACTTGCTGCTGATTCAACACTAAAACATCTTTTTGTTGAAATGGGACTGCTGAAGTGTGTTTAAAGCCTGACTGCACAGTCCTTGGAGGCCTTCATGAGGAGATTTATTTCTGATATATCCGAGATCTGGAAAGGTTAAAGTGAATATCTGGGGTAAGTTTATAAGAAGAAAACTATCTCAAGCTAACAAAACACAAACGTTCTGTGAGAAATAGAAAAATAAAAAATACACTACACATTTATCTCAAATTGTCAGATATGACTATACAGAACTACAAGCTCCAAACTTTCAACATGTTTTAAGTTGTGAAATGTTTTACAAAGAAATGCCAACTTCCACATTTTCTGAGCACCGGCAAATGCTTTTAACGCTGTCATACTATGTTAACCAATTTGATCATTGTATGAGAGCTGTTTAAATTAGTGCAGGCCTTAAGACTGGGTTGATGTCCTATTAGGGGATTTCTTGTCTAGTGAAAGGCTGTAGAACCGGTTGTTTCCCAGTCCAACTGCCAGAAAGATAGGAGTTTCCTGAACGTGTTCAGGTGTGGCCTTCCTCAGAAAGTTCATTGTACTGTCTTGCATGTATCCTAAAAGAATATAGACTCACACTGAATAAACTATAGGGACTGAGATAACATTGAGGAATTATCTCACTGTAGTGTCACTGTCAGTATTGACTCCAGGGCCTTGAATGAATGTTTTTTCAATGAAGGAAGGGAACCTGTAATTCAACGCAGGTTGGTTAATAACAAACTTACTTTGGAGGGTTCAAAGATACATCAACCAACTGTATGTGAGTAATCACGTAGTCCCATAGTTCTATTCCTGGGAGTGTTCGGCCGTAAATGATGAGTCATTTCATGCCTTGACCAGAGCACCATCACCATGAACTGATTCAGTGCTCGCATCCGCCCAATGGACAGACTTTCACTTCAGTGGCTCTGAAGCATTTACAGTAATACTTAAGTTGAGAAGAGGGTTGGATTCCTCAGAGGACCCTGAAACTCTCCATAGACTCTGTCTAACCACAGCATTGGATCCAATCAATCATAAGTGCATTTTGGAGGTTTGTTTTCCACTTTGGTTTTATTTCACTTACGTAAAAATGCCTCTCAAACTGTTCCAATTCATGATAAAGTAAATGTTTAAAATTACATATTGCAATATTGTATCATACAAATGCCAGCTATGATTGATTCCTGTTTAAGATCCACTTCAGCTGCCAATGTAATAACCTCTTGCTCAATCTTCCAATGAAGAGGGCTGACGTTATCATGTCATCATCACCCTGCTTTTCTTGAGAAATAGGCATGGTCAAGAGAGTTAACCACAATGTGCTGCGTTGTACCTCATATATTTTAAACCCACTTTATTGTTCAATTCAGATGTTTTTATGTTGTTTTATTGGTTACAGATGGCTTTAGCTTCAGCAAACTGAGAAGAAAAGAGCATTAACAATGAAGCACGAGTTGTGTCATATGATTAATGATAAAGCAGTTCAAACATCAAGTAGCTCCCAAGGACTATATTTTGATAAGTGCTCTACTATGAGAACTGAATTCCATAGATGGTGGCATCTGCAGGTGTCATCTATGGGCTCAGTTCTTTTGGTATGGTACTAGTTTGTCATCTGTACAGCACCAAAGGGTGGAAATCATGACTTACATTATGCGTTAATACTTGTGTGGTTGACATGTAGTCCATCGTGTCTTAGGTTTACTACACATTACTTGTGTTTGCATGTTTGTGGACATTGTTACCTTATTTCAAATGATGAATAAGGAGTTCATTTCAAATATTACTGTGAATGAAATAAACATGTTTCTAAATGACTGATCAGAGTTTATCAGTGTTGTTGAGCATAATGTATATTGTTAATAAAGTTAATCAAAGCAAATTATTTTCCTCTGTAATTTCTAAATACCCTCATAGCAATTTGTTTGTTTTCAAGATTCTGCAACATTAAAGTAATACATTTCACATGAAAGAGTGAGAGCATTCAAAAAATATAAGGGCTATCAAACTACATACTTTTTTCAGATCTTATCTCAGTTCTAGTTCCATAAAATCTGCAGCCATGGTAATGGCAGTAAGTCAGTGACATCCTCCATTACAATATTATACAATCTAACAACATTTCCAGCTTCAGCTATTAAGGTTTAAAATACAAAACTGCGTGTGGTTACATGGACTTTCATAAGAGGAGGACTGAATCATAGATAGTTGTAGTCCCGTACAAGCAGTACTGGTTTAAAGCAGTTATTTTTTAGGTACCTGAAGTGTCTGAAAGTTTTTCTGGAATTTGCCATGCATGCGCACAGTGCCCTCCTGATAACCTCTATTAGCTCTATGACAGATACACCAATCTTCCCCCCAAGAACACTCCCATTTTATGTCATCATTGCTGAAACCTGCTGGCGGATAATAGTGTTACTCCCTACTCTTGCTTCAAGAGATGACAATGTCATGGTTATTTTTCATCAGGGAAGTAAACATTGTTTTATCTGAAATCATTTTCATTCAACAAATTTGCTCTCCTTCCTTGTTATCACTCATCTGGTGTTTAAGAGGCCTCTGCCAGGAGGCCCAAAGAAAACAGCAGGCTATCCAGGCAGCAGAAAAACAAGTAGGATAAATCTAAATTCTGATCATGTTTAATGATCATCCCCTGTACATAGGTGCTCTCATGTCAGCATTCCAGATAAGATATTCAGTGTTTCTATGCTGTCACGATGACTTTGTTGCAATAACATCCTCAAAGTGAAGATGTATTTTGACTGAACTTTGACTCTACAAGAAATGTCACTTCATGAAGAGGATTTAACTGAAGGGCTCTTTGACATTAACTGTACTTTCTTTAATTAAATGTTTACTTGAAATCAACTGTAAAAATTTAATTCTTCAAGCTTTCTTGACTAAGAGTTTATGAATCCATATTGAAGTAAAAAACAGCAACAACATCTAAACAATTTGTAGATGGAAAAGCCAAAATGTTATTTCATAATTTTAGTTTCAGTAGTTGAAAGTAACTAAGCACATTTGCTCAAGTACAGTTTTAAGGTGTTTAAGCTTTATTGGAGAATTTATTTTAAGCTACTTTGTAGTTGTACGTCACTGCATTCCCGAAGGGTATGTTTGACTTTTACTTTGCTGATTGTGATTCATTTTGGATCAAGTTACAAAAGATGATGCATGGTTACAGATTAAACAAACCAATAAGGTAGTTAAATTAGCTCCACCTGAACCAATAACAAAATTACAATTATGCTTAGTTAATGTATCAGTATTTACAATCCTATAGTATATTATAGTAGGGAGCATTTTTATTCCTAATAAATAGCCTACTTTAGATAGACATTCATTTTGCTGATAAAAGAGAAAGCATAGAAGT